ACGGCAAGAGTATCCCGTGCAGACCCAAGGGCGCCAAACCCCACCTTATCCCCCAGTATTTACCCCCCATACAATGGAGAGTCGAGCCTTAGAGATAGAGGCCTGCTTAAAGAAAGCCTGTTATTATATCCTTAATTGCCCTCAGCTTCCTTAGATCTGCTTCGTCTAGTATCTGCAGCGGTGCGTCGACGGCAGGAGTACCTTCAGTAGACCCAGAGACACTTAGTATTGTTCCGTCATTCGATGGGTCGACCTTAATATCGCCAGGTTCGATGACGCCGTCGTCAGATCCACGTTCTTCAACGAAGTCGTACCACTCGACACTATCGAAGATGGTGAGGAAATGGCCCATGAGTTTCCTGTGACTGTCCATTTTCGCAAGTGTATCCTGTATGAAATATGAATAAACGCCCCCTACTAACTCCAATGACTCTTGCCATGACATGACATACCGTGCTTGAGCGCTCCTTCAAGCCAATAGCCGTCTGGAACTCCGTTGCTAGGACCTCCAGGTCACTCTCTGCAAGTTCTTTTCTATTCCAGAACGTTGTGAAGCGGTTGCCGCTGTGATTAAGCTTCCTCTTCTTTGTCACTGGCTACTTTAATGCTCCTGCATCTAATGAGGTAGCGCTTTTAGGCTAGAATACGCTAAATTTCTCTAACTAATATTCTTTAATTAGATCTATACGTTTAGCAGAGGTAGTATAGATAGGGAAAAGAGAGGCCTATTAGATAATAAAGCTTTAAACGCTTTAGACTGTCTGTGTACTAATGCATACCTTGCTAATTAATGTAAGGCTCGGCCCATGAAGGGTACGTAGTACCCAGGTTCGAGTCGTACATGTACCATTCGATCCGCAATAATCCCATCTTGGGATTACTGCACTCTTTTTGAGGTTGCTTGCCGCAGTGGGGATTGACATTGGGCTTGACAATCAAACTATAGCCTCTACTTTAGTTATTACGCTTAAAAAAAGTAATAGTTATATTTTTATTTATTTAATTACTACTAACTTTTATCTATTTAAGCTTTTTGTACTTAGTTTGGAGAGCTATTGTGATTAGGTGGCGGGTGTATGTGTAGAGAGTGATGAAGGTCAGAGGACCGGTGAGGAGAGAATGAGGTGTTGTAGCCTTGAGAGGCGCATGCCTATCTGTCTAGATTACTGCAGCTATCCAAGGTGAAGGCAAGTGCACCAGACATTAGGTACATCCATTACTCGTGTTCACCGGCAATGACATGCAGTGGAGGTAAGAGCAAGAGTATCAAGAGCAGATCACATAATCACAACCTATCATACTCTAAGCTCTCTTTAGTCGCCCAACCCATATCCCTACCATCTACCCTTCCATCCTCACACCACGAAACCACCATGACCCAGTCACCACCACCACCCTCGCGCTTGAAGTAAGGCACCACAGTAACAGGCCAAGATGTCACAGTCGCAGTCAACAACCCAGAGCCTAGCAAATCCCTCGTCGCACTCGCCGACCTCCAAGCCCTTATCCCTACCGTACACCAATGAACTGTCCCTTTCGAGGAAGCACCTCCTCCCAGGACCGAAGAAGAGCCCGAGATCGAGGAGAAGCACAAAGGCCGGCGAACAACTCACCGACGACGATTTGCAGATTCTAGCAAAGGAGTTCCAGGACGCGATTCGCCTGCGCCGTTGCCCGGCCACTGTACGTCAAGCATGCCTATTGCCTCTCTCCTCTCCCTCACCCTTAATCACGGAACACTATGATCCCCAGTGCACAAGTACCCAACCAATGGACCAACTAACACATTCCCTCCTTTCCTAGGCCCTCCTCTCCAGAATGGCAAAATACAGACGTATATAGGGTGATCCATTCACAGTCTTTGACTGCGTGTATTGGTTCGGATTCGTAGAGGAGAACGCACCGCGTGATGGGTCAATTCCGCTATTGTACCAGGGCGGGAACTGATGTATTCGGTTCTTGGTGGTGAACAGTGGTGAGCGGTTTAGAGGGGAGATGGAAGTGATCGATTGTATGGTGGTGATGTTGGGGGTGTTTCGCGAGGTTAGATAAGAAATCAAAGGAGTTAGGATTGATGGGAACATGGGATCAAGGCGAACCCATGTTATGGATGTTGATAGGTCATCGTATAAAGCGAGGGAATGGGAGTGTTGCAGCCTTGGATACCTTTCGCGGTATTGGCCTTTTGCCCGCAGAGTTGCTTGAGTTAAGGAGTGCTTTCATGTTGGCTTAGGATGCAGGGTTATTGCGGAGATGTAATGAAGAAGAATGGAAGTGAACTAGCGAGCTAGTTGGAAGGAGGTACTTGTTACGATATCCATGAGATTTTGAAAAAGGTTGAACCGTGTGACGTGAATGAAGCAATTGGAATCGCTGCTCATCTTCTACGCAAGGGACAAGTCGATGAAACGAATAGTGTCGGGTTCATTTTGCGAAAAGGAAGTTGATCACATCTGGGCGTGTGCAAAGAACGTCGCAACTTAAGAAGAGGCTCTTCTATTCTTACATAACATCAACTACCTTTCGTCTGGATATGCTTCTTCTGCTTGCTATCCGCAAGATTTTCCGGTTGAATTTTTACTCTCCTCCGTTGTCTCTATACCTAAAGCCTGACGCATACAGCCCCAAACCATCAAACCCTCCCCTAACCATACCTCAGCAAGGATCACTCCCATAATCCTCCAGACATAGACAGTGCCGTCTCAGTACACCGTGAAGTATACGACCCTACTGTTGCGTAATCCCGAGATCTCGTAGCACATTATCGGGACTTCGCCGCGAGATGTGACCTAAGTAGCGTCGCGAAACGAAGGCATAATTCCTAGTAAGGTCTTGAAACCCATAACCGATGAGTCAGTTCCGGTGGTGAAGTAGGCGTGGAGCTCATTGGCAGTGAACGCGATGACACTGCCAAGTCCCTTGAAGGGCGTCATGCGGCGGTGGTCAAGCGGGTTCGCGAAGACGAGGATTTGCCACACGATCAGAGCCTCGAGCTTGCAGTCTTTGACGACATATTCGACAAAAGACTGCAAAGCCTCTTCATTCAGTGTTAGGCCATCGAGGCTGCGGATGCAGATGGTTACCTCGGTGCCCGCTTCAAAGCCCTTAAGCCAGGCCTTGATGTCCATTGCCATGGCAGCTTGGTTCTTGCGATTGCTTTGCCAATCGCATTGGTCTGCACTCCCCTTCTTATGCCATGTAGATTCGATGGAAACCCACCGAATCCTGTCATGGGCATTGCGTCCCAGGCGCTTGGCAATTGTCCTGCCTTCTTCGCGCCGCTCGTTCGTCTTTGCATCCTGTTCAAGTTGGACTCGCTTGCCGCCTTTCTCAAGGGAGTAGCTGCCTTTGTTACTACTCATGCGGCCAATTACGATGATGTGCTCGCCCATTGGCTGGAGAATCTCGAATTCTCCGGCTTTGAAGGCCAATTGGGCGGGCAGGTTGGGATCCGCATAGACCTTGGGCTTTGGCCCTCGCTTGGCCGGGGGGATGACATTGCCATCACCGTCGTACCTCACTTTTCGCTTGAGACTCGGCTTTGGCTTACTGCCGTTAGTCTGAGGTGTGGTCTCACCACCATTCAACGGCTTTTTACCGCTCACTGCCAAGTCTCTACCCGAAGACGGTTTATGGTGAGATCCTGGCCGCTCACCAGGTTCTCTTTGTCTTCGGCTTGATCGCTATGGGGCTTACGCCTACCGATAGCTTCCTTATCATCAGCACGCGTCTCATTACCACGCTTGAGCCAAGCTTGCATCACTTTGCAGGCTGAAAGTGAGGTCATGAAGAGATGAAGACAGATTATGGTGATGAATAAACGCGTTCGCGAAAAAGTAGAAGGAGCAATGACGATGCGGATGCGAAGTTGGAGCGGAAGTCGCGTCGTGCCCTCCTCGACCTACACAGACACAAGATCCTGCGCAATACCGCTGTCGAGATTGAGCTTTCGACTAATCACCTCGCCATTGGAAGAGAGGCTTGATGTGGTACGCGTCTTGCCAGCGCTCTTCAACCATGCTTGTATCATCTTGCGGAAATGATGTGAGTGATTGATGTGATGAAGGTAAGTTGCGGCGCTGTCGATAAGTACGGTAGTGGGAAAGCAGAAAGTGCGTGGTGCTGCGGATGTGAGACGAACGGAAATTGCGCTGTAGCTGGTGCTTTGGGCCCGATGTTGTCTTCTTTTGAGGACCTTGCGAACGGCCTCGTTCGGGTGCGTGAACGACGTTGGCGTGTTCGTGACACTTGTGCTTGTCAACTTTTTCTGGCGATCCGCGGTGACTGACTCGACCGGTGCGTGGTGATGGCTCGCCTGGTGAACGTGAAAAGGTCGCTGTATTTGTCTTTCAAATGATCAGTGCATGCTTCGTGCTTCAAAAGGCGGGCGTGTCCGTCTGCGGTCGATCGCAGGTTGACTCGCGTGTAGCGGCTGGCCGCTCCGCTTGACGCTCCGTGGTTCCTGCCTCCCTCCATTCATGTCACGTTGTCTGCTCTGAAGGTGGCGTTACAGCAGACCGTCGTCTCTGCGGCCACACATGCGTTCGAACATGATGGTTTGCTGATCTCGTCGTTGCGCGTCGAGCTTTCCGCGAGCTACCGGTTTGTAATTTGCACGACCGTGAGTGAATTCGTAAAGTGTATGGAAGGAGTAGAGAAGTAGCAGTCATGCTGCGCAAGGTACTAAGCAGTACAACGGCCAAGATAATATTTGTTGATGACGTGGCTGTATCGCATTCACCTGGACTTCCTCGACAGAGTCACATGACGCAATACAGACAGTCGACCATCACCATAATTTGCACAATCATACCAAAGCGGAAAGAATAGAAGTAAAGCAGGCAACAATAAGTACTAAACTCTTCTTGCATATGATTGGCCGGGTTTATGTGGCTGCATGCCCCCCCACTATGCCAAAAATCAAATCCTTCACTCCTATCGCAATTCCACCACCCCCCTTCGACACATCCCAGCAAAAAAGAAAGCTTCAAACGAAGCAGACGCCCGACCAGGGACTCGAACCCTGAGCCTTGAGATTTCATCGTACATTGTACGTAAAAGTCTCACGCGCTAACCAATCTGAAAGATGTGTTAGCAGCTGCGAAGGGATGAACCACTACTGGGAGGTGGGAGGCTTACTGTGCCAGCCGGGCTGTAGATGCTGTGTTGATGACAAAACTGCTAGATATAAAATATATATTGTGTGCCGTTTACGATACAGCAAGAACAAAGCCTTGAGACCCAATGTCAAAGAGCCGCAAAAGCCGGGTGTAAAGTGTGGAGCGCTAAAATTGAAGCAAGGAGGGGTAAAAACGTCTCAGTGGCCGGGCAGGATGGGTCATCAGTATCGAAGCGTCATTGATTTGTTCGGGGCTTTCGGCGGAGACTCGGGGGCATTGTGTCAATTTGCTAGGTCACGACTCACAAGAGCATATCAACACCATCGTGAGTGAAACAATGAACAATGCCAACAATCTACTGACAAATGAGGTAAGTAGCTTCAGCGAAAGAAGACCTGTCAACAGATATACTTTCAAATTATTGAATGTTGCGACGAAACAAGCAACGAATCTAGGAAGGTCCTCGCATCATGACGAAGAAGGGAGCAACATCACAACAATCACAGAGTCGGACCAAATAATTTCCAAGTTTAAGGTAAAAGTTTGATGGAGAACGCCTGGAGTATGCGAACAATTTACTCGCGGAATGCGCCAAATGTAGATCTGAGATACCACCTGCGAAAGACGAGGGAGAACGCCAGAACACATAACAATCTGGTTTCTTATACTGCCCAGTCACCAGACGGCGCAGGACGACCAGAGCCTAAATAGGACCCCGCAAAATCTTGCTTCACCTTGCGAAGGTGATCTTTGGCTTTACTAAGGCCTGTAAACCCCTTTCCGCGCAACGACTTCTGCCAACGCGTGTTGTCGTCTTCCTGCCACGTGGTGGTTTGATTACCATCCAGAATGTCGTCGAATGTAGTAGCAGCTCGACGCAACTTTTGGACTGGTTCAATTTCCAAGGTGATCGAATGAGAAGATGGAACCACCAAAGAAGGTTGCCGCTGTGTGGACAAATTCCGCGATGCATCGAAGGCGTGCTGGACCGCTTCACCAAAGTGATGCGCTGCTTGGCCGACCTTGTGCGCCACGTTGTTAGCAGTGGAACTAAATGCCGGAGCTTGTTTGACTGGGTTGTCAGTGATGGCTCGGCTCAATGGCTCTGGATGACGGCGACTGCCCACAGGCGAGCAGGGCTTTGCGAATTGACCAGATCGAACAGTTGGTGCTCCTCGTCGTACCGGAGCTGATTTAGTTACTGGATTTGCAGCTTTGAGTATTGAGCGAGGCATATTCGCCGGTGCATGGTGGCCACCCGCTGGGGCCATAGTGGCCGCAGGTGCTGGTGCAGTCGCCGCATCACGTTCTTCGAGCAGCTTAGCTTCTGCGTAGGAACGCTTCGCAAGGGCTTCGCCATTCGCCTGAAGATACGCGGAAGGGACCTCCGCATGCTCACCGCCATGCCAATCAAGTTGCTCTTGCGGCACAATGTGGGTCACCGGGGTCGTAGCGAACTTGACGCCTTGGTTCTGATGCTGAACCCGAGCGTGCTTTGCTGCGGAGACAAAGCCGTTATGGGACATGTTCATGGTTGTGGCTAGAAACTTGGTCGTTTTGAACAAGGCAAGATAAGTCCTGCTTTTCTTGCTTGTGAAGCTGTGAACAACTTTTGTTTCGAAGTCGATAGTTGTAGTTGCGCAAGGTTGAATGATCTGAGAAGGTATACAGGGACATGATGAGCGCAAGCTATATACAGATATATAGTAGACTTGGTGTTTTCACAGCCGTAGTCTCGCTGTGTTTGCCAACAGTGTAATGTCCTTGCACTATGTAGTCCTGATACTTGTGTTCGCACAATGTGAATCACTTTGGATGGTAAGACATATGGGACTTTTTGAGACATGAACCTTACATCTGACAATTCACGGGAGGAGTCTGAAATATAGATGTAAACGATTCGACCCGAATTTCGACAGTCTAATCGCTCGATGCTGAAGCGCACGGGCAGTGAAAGGTTTATATCTTTTATGCTAACTTGGAGGTCTTGTCGTTCCACCGCCGTGGTGCGCTTCTGTGTGCGTAGCCACAGTAACCCACTTGATCCTTAAAATAGACGATTTGTTAAGGTGAAGATATTGAAGAAGTTCCCAGTAAGCTGAAAAAAGCTGGCTACAACCAACTTGTGTCTCCGGGAGGTACTGGGTATGTGGTGAGTTACGGGAGAGGGTCAGAGATAAGGTAGAGTGGAAAATGAATCATGTGTTCATTTGAACATTCGACTGTTATTGAAGGGCAAATCTACAAAGGTGCGAGTAAACCAGTATCACCTGGTCACAGTAATTCCCTCACACAAGATTCAAATCCATGCAGTAGTGAATCAGTGACATCAATTCTATAGCCTTCAAAACTCCGATACCCTATTACTACTGAAACTCCTGATTGAAAGGTGGGGCTAGGTAGCCGTTCAAGCTCTATATCCCCTCTCCCTCTCCCTCTCCCTCTCTTCCTTCTTCGCCATCTTCACATACATCTCATCCATATCCAAACCACGTCTCTCTAAACCTTGCCCAACCCTCTTCGCGCGCTCAACAACCCTCCCGTACCCACGCACCGCCATCCCACGCACCGAGCGCAACCGCCGCTTACCATCGAGTTCCTGCCACGTCGTCGTTTGACTGGGGTGCAGAAAGTCGGTGAATGTGATGTTTGCGCGAAGGACGCGGTTTGTTGCGATGGTTGTGGAAGATGTAGGGGTAGGGGTGCAAGTAGAAGGTGGAGAGATAGGTGAATATGTTACACCAGAATTAGTAGACGCGCGACCTAAAGGAGCCCGAAGACTTCCTACAGGTGAAAAAATTTCCTTGAACTTACTTGGACGGAGGGTTCGTGTCTGCTCCGAACCTTCATCTTCTTTCGTTGCTGTTGGAGTAGGTGCAGCTTCCCACGCAACAGCGCCGCGATCTTCCATTACTCCGGCTTCTCGGAAAGAACGAATAGACAGCGCTTTCGCATTGTCTTGGGTCCAGCGCGATACTTTTTCTGCGGGCGCGTGACCGTGCCATGAGAGTTCTGTGGAGGGGATTATGTGGATGGAGGATACGGACTTACTTGTGCCACGACCTTGGATGGTGGAAGGAAGAAGGTTGTTGGTAGGGGAAGGCATTTTAGCGGTTGATGAGGGTAAGATCTTGAAGGGTGGATGAGTTAATAGAGACGGTGATCATTTAGGGGGATGAGTCGGGTAACGAATGTTTTGAGCGAGTGTGTCTGAATGGTTGATCTGAGGAGGTATAGATGGGCATTTTGGATGGATTTAATACATTGAACCTAGCAGCAGATTTGTGTTTTACGAGTGCGCGATGTGCATGTCGCTGTGAGTGGATTATTTGCCCTACTAATCCAATATGTAGAATGCGATGTGTTCGCACAATGCAAAGTGTTCCTGGCTAGATGAGACTTGAGCACATCTGAGACATGAGCACATCTAAAACATGTTTTCGTCAGGCGGTGAAACTGGTAGAAAATTCACGTCGAGTGGAAGAACATAGGGAACACTTGAGCGTGAGGAACTTATGACGTTGATCGCCTTCCGCATGTCTTAACCTTCCACATCCAATCAATCTCGTCACAATACACAAATATAGTAACAAACACCCTCAAACGCCCGGCCCCCCAACACCACAACAAAACAAACCCCACTCCTAACCCTTCTTTCCAATCCCAACAACCCAACCCAACACGCCCTTCCCAACACTCTTTACCTTTTCCCTCTGCGACATTGCAAGACGCGCCTGCGCCTCTTCTTCTTTATCCAGCTCTGCCATTGACTTGATTTGCTTGGGGCGCAGGATGGCGTCGAAGTCTTGGGCGAGTTTGAGTTTGGGCTGGGAAGTAGAAGTAGGAGATGTGGGAGTGGGAGTTGATGATGAGCTGGTAGGAGAAGTGGTGGGATTAGAGGAGGAGGAGGTGGTGGTGCGGGTGGGACAGGAGCCGAAGCGGATATGGGGGGAAGGGAAGGGTGGGTGTGAGGCTGGTTGCTCCGGTGGTGGTGGTGATATTTGTGGAGGCCATAGTTTGTGGGTGTGTGACAGGGATGGCGGAAGAGTAGGTCTTGTAAGTGGTTTTCGTGGGTAGTTGTGCGGTTGAGCTTGTGTGTGCGATGAAGAATGTTGAGACTGGTCTGAAGATTCTAGGTTGTTAGAACAATATGATGTAGAGCTGGTAGAGTCCTTTGTGAGCGAGCACGTGGGTGAGATTGTACCGTTCTGACGCCTAGTGTGAGTTGTAAGCGCGTTGTAGTACAGAGGTCAAGAGCGGTGAGAGTCGCAGTGCTGTGAGATGAGGAAATCTGGAGTGTTAGAGGTACTCATTTCTCTAGAGCATTCAAGGTGTCAAACAAGCTCACTGACAAGATCGGCCATGGTCGACAAGATTGCCGATGGTATCTAATATGAGGTATCGTCAGTGCTGCTTCAATAGTGGCTTTTGTAGGCTGCCACAACGTCCCAGTGCATTCCGATCACCTCATGCGCATTGTATTAGACTGATCGGTGCGCGGCGTTTGTTGCTTCTGTCCACGGGAGCTGATCAGGCGACTGAAAGAACACAGGTAAAAAGAACTGAAGACGATTCACCATTACGATGCTTATATGACGAGGCAACATCGGAAGCCAATCCAACTTCTTGAGCATTGTCGTACTGTGAACTGGCCGTGCCGAGTTGCATGAAACCTCACTGTTAGACCATGGAAGCTTGGAGATTTGTTTGATTGGTCATGAAGGTGCCATTGTTTTGTGAAGAATCCTGATAAACCCATGATCGTTACAGGACCGGCGTCCGAAAAGCTGCTAGAGAGCCATTGCAATTCGGATAATGGCTGCCGATGCCGGAGAAACACGCTCGAAAACTCCTCCTTCCCAGTGCCCAATGTTCCCTTAAACCTCAGCAATCTCGCGGAGACGACGGATCGTTGACCTTGTGGCGGCGGCAGCGGGGGTTCTGCGGGGGGTCTTGTTAGTGCAGTTCGTGTGGTAGACTTGT